TGATACAACTTTTACTAGTGAGCTAGATGTAATTGTTGAATATGAGTGAGAGAATAAATTAGTGATATTTTATGGGAAATTTTAATGATTGTAATGTATAACAGAAATTAATCTCATTGTTCTCAGCAATTGCGTTTAGAATTAATTGTGTATTGATGTATTACTATAGTTTTCAATAATACATCTTGAGCATGGCCTTATTGTATTAATTATCATCTTACAATGGGGCACTTTGTATGAGAAAGATTTATTTTTTTTATGTATTATCAGCATGCATAACAACCAATGACCAATCCACAGGAATTCTTTTCTTCTAGGAAGCATGGTGAGTTTAAGTCTCCAATTTCAACCACCATCAACAATCAAAATCAAAGAGAAAGAGAAAAAGTAAAAACATCAAACAACAATAAATTGCATATTGAATGACTATATTGGAACACTTATATATATTAGGAACTAAATTAATACAATTTAAACAATTAGGGACTAAAATAACACAAATTGCATATTTTCGGGACTAAAAGCGAAAACTTTTACTTAAATTTCCATATTTACACCTTAATTTAACGTCATCTACAAAAAGAACACGTTTTTATATAATGAGGACTAAATTGACGTAATAAAAATAATAATAACCAAAATAACACCAATAGCATATTTTAGGAAAATGATAATCTAATAAGTTTTCAGACTTTTACAGATACATCATGGAAACTAAAGGTTGCAGGTGAAGTGCTCCATCCTCCCTTAATTTCAAGGGCAAATTACACTGGTAGCCCATATATTTTTAACCTTGTACCATTTTAGTCCCTATAATTTTAATTGGCTTGATTTTTACCATCAATTTATGATTTGTCTCAATTTGATTCAATTGATTACAATTGTTAGTACTTTTTGATAGAAAATGTGTACATAAGTGGCTGGTGTTATTTTTTATAAGAAAAATTGTGAACTTATTCAACTCAGTGAATTAATCTCAACCATTTTCCCTTAAAAATCCTAATCAATGTTATCAATTGGACTAAATTCACACAATCTACAATTAAGTGTTAAAATTGAGTTAATTGAAATTAGAATGACCAGAGTAAGACAAGAAGAAAAATGCACGGACTACCAATGTAATTTATCCTAATTTCAATTGATTTTGTGGATGAGGCAAAATTTTACTCAATTTGTATGTTATGAATTGCAAGTGAAGTCTCGGTTTATCTATTCCTATTGTATTTGTCATTATAATGTATTTTGTCTACAGATTAAACAAAATAAAGAAAGAGGATCAATTAAAGATTTTAAAGTTTTTGGAGGATTATAAAGCTCTTAAGCCTGCAAGATACTCCTACACAGATATCAAGAAAATCACAAATCAATTTCAGAACAAAGTAGGCCAAGGAGGTTATGGATCAGTGTACAAGGGAAATCTTTCAAATGATGTTCATGTTGCAGTTAAGATTCTTAACAATGTGAAAGGAAATGAGGAGGAATTCATCAATGAAGTGCAAACAATAGGCAGAATCCACCATATCACTATTGTTCACTTGGTAGGACACTATTCTGACGGGTTCAGAAGAGCTCTCCTTTATGAGTTCTTATCAAACAATTCGCTTGAAAAGTTCATCTCCTCTCTGATAGAGAGAAGCGTTCACTTGGTTGGGAGAAGCTGCAAGATATAGCCCTTGGCATAGCTAAAGGAATTGAATATCTTCACCTTGGGTGTGATCAACAAATCCTTAATTTCGATATTAAGCCTCACAACATCTTGTTGGACCATAAGTTCAACTTAAGAAGTATGGACGCTTCTAAGAAGGTGATGTATGCATGTCATGTCCATGTCGGACACCGACACTCTTTGGACACTTCTCCGATACGTGTCCGACACTCTTCAAAACATGTCTTATTTTTTTAATATTTTTTAAACACCCGAACACTCTTTGGACACTTGGAGGACATACGTGTGCATCTCTTAAACTCATGTGTCTATCGATTAGACACATGTGAAACTAATTATAAGTTTAAACAAAACAATTTAAGATATTCCCTCCGTCCCAAAATATTAGTTCCTTATTCCATTTTTCATTGTCCCAAAATATTAGTTCCTCTTTATAAATCAAGCAGAAAAATAATGTAAATTTCCTATTTTGCCCTTCTTTTAAATTAATAAACAATATAAAAAGTACAATTATGACATTGATATTCCCAAAAAATGTACTATCAAAAGGGTAATTTTGGAAAATCAACTTTTTTCAAATGCAATAAGTGTACTACCAAAAAAAGTTGGATTCCCCAAAAGGGACCAATATTTTGGGACGGAGAAAGTATAATAATAAAACAAAAACCATATAAATTTATAGGAATTAGTGCCATGATATATTCATATATATAATATATAATAAATATATAAAATTATATATTGCATGCGTGTCCTCCACATGTCGTGTCCTGTATTTTTTGAAAATTAGCGTGTCAACGTGTTAGTGTCGTATCCATGTCGTGTCGATGTTTCTTAGGCCCCGTTTGTTTTCAGAGGTAAAATTGATGAGATTCATAATGAGGGAATTGATAGTAAGATGATTAATTAAAACTATATTTTTTTTTATGATTGTTGTTGACATAGGGATTGCTAAATTATTTTTACATAAAATAATAAAACAAATACAAAAAATACAAAAACATTAAATATTAATGTTTAAAAAAAATGCCCAACATGTAAAAAATAATAAATAAAACAAATAAAACAATAATTTTTACTTAACAAAAAATACAAAAAATTAAACATTAATGTTCAAAAAAAATGTCCAATTTGTAAAAAATAAAATAAAATAAAAAAATAAAAAATAGTCCGGCAGACTATTTTTCTAATACCACCGCCACCTCCACCTCCACCTCCTCCATCCCAATTCTCCTTCCAAGGCTTAATCTAATCTGGACCTCCATCTCAATCCCTTCTCTATCACCCAAAACAAACACAACATTAGTAAGTCCCACATCCATCTCAATCCCAATCCCCACTCCATCTCTTGCAACAAACGGGGCCTTAGAGTTCAACCCAAAGGTCTCTAACTTTGGTCAATCAAAATAGTGTTCAAAGGAACAGAGTGCTATATCCATCACTATTGCAAAAACGGTTGTATGGTACATTGCTCCTGAAATGTTTTCTAGAAACTTTGGGAATATGTCATACAAATCAAATGTTTATAGTTTTGGAATGTTGCTAGAAATGGTTGGAGGGAGAAAGAAAAAAAAAACACAAAAAAGAGCGAAAATTACTTTCATGAATGGATTTACAAGCGTGTGGATCAAGGAGAAGAATCAAGAGTTCAAATTGAGAAACAGATGCAAAGATTGTGAAGAAACTAACAATAGTGGGACTTTGGTGTATACAATGGTTACCCAATAGATTGACCATCGGTGAAAGTTGTGGTACAAATGCTAGAGGGATATGGAAGCACTCTAACAATTCCCTCCAGTCCATTTGCCTCCACAAATCTAGTGTCAACGAGGGGAACAATGGGTAGTACAACTTTTAATAGCAAGTTAGAAGTAATTTATAAATCTGAGTGAGTATAAATTAGTGATATTTTATGGAAATTTTAATGATTGTATTGTATAATAGAAATTAAACGTCTTGTTCTCGGCAATGAGTGTAGAATTAATTGTGTATTTATGTATTACTATAAGCTTTTAATAATACACCTTGTGCATGGCCTCTGTATTAATAGTCATCTTTTAACGTATCAGAAAGATTTTGTTTTCCTGTCAAAGAAGTATCTTCTCACTCAAAACTTTGTCTTAATAATGCAAACCTACATAACATCAATGGCAACCTTGCAGTAAATCTTTTCTCCTGTTTTGCTAAATCTACAATAAATTTGGAGGACTTCGAATTTACAAGTTCTTCATTGCATGGTTAAAACGGAGGTATAAATCAAAATTAAATGTCAATATATTAAACAACTTACAAACCATAGTTTAATTTTAAAATCATGCTAAGCATAAAACAAAAACTAAAAAGAAATCTAGTGAAATGAGTCGTATTTCTGTAGTAGAAGGAAAATATTGTTTCAACGGAAGTACGGTACGGCTTAGATATATACTAGGTACGTCTGGGTACGTCAAAAATTAAGAAGAAAAAACTTAGGTACATGTTTCGTGTACCCGGTACGTATGTAGAAGTACCATACGAGGTACGGTACGCTAGTAAATATCCGGTACAGGTACGACATGTTTTTTGAAGTAACCATGCTTCATAGCCTATTTATAGAAATGAAGCATTGATTTAAAAGTTTTGTAAAATAACAAGACAATTTTACCTTTTAAAATACAAAGACAAATATATCAAATTCTATATATCACAGCCTACACACAAAAAACTTTCCTTAAAATTTATAGAGGGCAATACATGAATTGTAAATTTAATTGATTAACGGTTATAATGCTGTGGAGGTTCTCAAGTGAGTTGTAAAGTCTTCACATTATGTAAGGAGAAATATCATTGGTTATAACCTAGGGGAGTAGGTCCTTTGCACTATACTATATATAGGATTTTCAAATATCAAGGGTGGCTATGGCACCCAGGCCGCCCTCTCCCTCCAAGTAAATATTGAATATAACCGTATATTACGTGATTGTATCACTATTTAATAAATAATTTTATTTTATGACACAAACCACAATATTATTGAGTTAATAAAAGCAGAGACTTGTTCATCTAATTTCAATTACAGTCTTTTTTTTATTGACCAATGACACCAGGTAAAATAATATCACCGTTACTCTCAATATTTTCTCCTCCCCGCACCCCGAAGAGGTTATTTGCTTGTGATGGAGCAATGCTCCACATCCTTTAAATTATCACTTGACACTCGTCAAGTTCTCTCTAAAATCAAACAATTAACATCAAGATGAGGCACTGCATAGTGATATAACAGAATTAAGAACATGCATCATCAACAACTCGGACAATTTTACTAGTAATAACTATGAAAAATCAATACCGCAAAAAAAGTAACAACAATATAATTGATTGATTCAATCAATCATTTTTATTCATTAATTTGATCATTATACTCAACCAAATTATAAACCTAACATCACATTTCAAGTTCCTAAATCCATCAAGATTTCAACATAAATAATAACAAGCAAACAAACAATCAATCAAAAAGTAATCAGAAATCAGAGCACCGACAGTTCCGCTCCCAATCGCCGTAACGAGTGGGCTCGGGACCTCTAGGTCCTCCAATCTCACCGGTCTCTTTGTTCATATCAAAGTCATCATCTTCATCTTCGTCATCGTTGTCCTTTTCGTTTTGAATCTTCTCTTTGATTTCTGATTCCTCTTCTTCAAGCCTTTTAGGGTTAACTTGATCTTCTTATTGAAACTGAGTCGAAGAGCAGATGAGTCGCCTCGCCGAGTTCGAACCGGAGAGAGTTACCGATTCAGATCTCGCGTCTGAAAGACGCAATTTTGGAGCAGATAACTTGATTAGTGATGAGAATAGACGGCCCTGATTAGCTTGTTTGTTTTATCCTCTTTGTTGCTTTATACAGGAAGTGGACTGACTGATTGTATGCATCTCACAGTTCGGTGTTCTCCTGCGAGATGGAACGTTAGCCCTTGGATGAATAATTGATATTTGATCTTTCAGATTTTAGATTTTTTAGTGTTTGCAAAATAATTTGGATTTTTTTTTTTTTTAAATTACACTTGACCATTTATGTTTGATTATTTTCTTACTTTAACTTTTAAAGTTGTACTAGCATATCAACACATGCGACGCAAGGACTAATTAAATAATTTTAAAATTAAATAATAACGTAAAATTTATTTAAAAAGTGTAGAAAAATTATTTATAATGAATTAAATTTTAACTATTTTATTAAATTATATATATCTATGGCACTGTTTGGGAAGAGCAATTGGAGGCTATTATAGCCTCAAATGAAAAATAAGCCAAAAAGTCTCACTATTCACCCCTTTTTATTAAATTTTTCAAAAAAAAATAGGCTGCAGCTGCCGGCAGTGTAGGCACAACCTACACTGTCAAAGTGTCAAATTGTTACATCACTTAGGAAATTACAATTTTGCCCCTTTACATCAATTTAAAAAATTATAATATTAGGGACAAATTAGTCATTTTAAATTCAAATATCATTTCAACACACTTTTCAATACAACAATTCAAATAAAAATCAATCTCATCTTTCCAAACACAAAAACTAAAATAGCCTACTAAAGTAACCAAAAAATCAAAAAACTTCTAAAATAGTTACTTCCCAAACGAGGCCTATATAATAAGGAAGAGGATTTTTAAATTTATCCTAGAGACAATTGTCCTACTAAGACATTTAATGGTCATGATTCATTTGTGTATTTAAATGAACGGCTGAGATGACTATATATCAATCCTAAATATATATCTACATTTACTTCCCACCCAAACAATAAGTTCCCTCTACTTACCCACGTCTCCCCTCCATTCTATCTTTATCTCTCTCCCTTCTCTGTTCTCACATTCCCACTTACCCACGTCTCCCCTCCCCCCTCATTCTATCTTTATCTCTCTCCCTTCCCTGTTCTCACACACCCTATTTCCTGTTTATCTCTCCCTTTCTACACATCTCATTCTCGGTCCTGCCCCCGCCCCGCCACCGCCAGGTGCAATAGATTCAAAGCCACAAGAATAGAGGTAAATAACTGTAGCAAAGAAGCAGTTCATCAGATGAACAATTCGTCATCGTCCGTATATTCCTCTCTCTCTCTCTCTATATATATATATATATATGAAATGGGTCTTTGCCATTATTGCAGGAGAGTTGTGAGTATAAACTTCTTCTTTCCGGGTTGAGATCCCCTGTTCTCCTCTGTCTCTCCCTCTCTCATCTGCTCCGTTCCTCCTTTTATTTTACGTTCAGTCTTTTGCTATCGATCTTCTCTTCTAATTTTTGAACACAAATCAACCACAAAAAAATCATAAAACTAGATGGAGACCCAATCTTCCAACTAAAGACCCAGATTAAAACTAGATGGCTCAACCTCATGTAGATTCAGGGGAAAAAAAATTAAAAATAAAAATAGTCGAGCCAAATTCAGAAAAGGACCCAGATTAAATCATATTTTATGTTGAATTTGGTTATATAATTCATATTCTATCATTATTTGTCTGTTTATCTCGATCAAAAAAAATAGATATTTGTTTGTTTATGAATGGTTTCGATCTGTGCAACAAATTAACAGAGAGAATAAAGGAAGCAAAGGAATAATGGGAGACCGAAGAGATTTTGTTAGCCTGTTGTGTTCATCGGAAAGTGGAGAAAAGAAAGAATTAAGAAGCACAAAACAAAGAGGGCTATAGAGATTTTTGTGACAAGGAATGGGGATAGGGAAATGGGTTTGTTTTATTGTTTTTTTATGTTGTTATGAGGGTAAGTACTGTTTGGGTGGCTAGCGGTGGCTCATGGAGGTGGCGTGTGCTGGCGTCAATCGGTCAGAAGCGTTGAAGCTTGAGAGAGTTATGAATCTTCAACTTTTTAGAGAGAGAAAGTGGGTCTTGACATTATTGGTTGGTAGAGCATTTAAAAATAAATAAATTCAAGCACTAATTTTCTTTGTGGAAGCAAACCAAAAGCGCAAAAAATAGTGTGTAAAATCAAGTGCAAAATCACGCTCCTGCACTTGGAAGATTGACCCACAGTCCAAAGATGCTTGGAGGAGTTTTCAGCATGGTTGTTTAGATCCTGAACAATGCGATTAATTTCAAATTTTTTTTTATTGGAATTGGTCCATCTATCTCTATCTTTATCTTTATCTTCATCTTCTTTTACTTTGTCTTATATCTACGCTTTTTTTTTTTTTTTTTAATTTTATGTTTCAATTTGGCCTAGGTTTGGGGCCTTTATAAAAACTTTATATAAGTCAATTTAATTGCTATACTTTTATTTTTTTAATGGTTAATTTTTTTCGTGGGTTATTTTATCTAATTTAATCTTAACATTATGTTTCTTAAATGGATTTAATTTTTTTTAAAGGTTTTAAATTTGAAATAATACTTGATCTTTATAAAAATGGGTTTTATTTTTTAAATGGGTTTTGATTTTTGACATGGTTTTGAAGAGGGTATTGATTTTCTATAATTTAATCAAATCATAAATTTGAGAGAAAATAGAGTGAAAAATAAAATAGAAAAATTATGAATGAGAGTAGGGACTCATTGCGGCTCATCGCCACTGTCCATTCCGCAGCTGTCCACCACCATTAAAGAGGAAGATGAAACAAAGGAAATAAACGGTTTGGAGAGAGATTAGTTAGAGAGAGGGATAATAGGTAGAGGGTAGTTGAGATGTATTTTGAATTGATTCAACGGTCTAGATTTGGGTAGGAAAAGCACATTTGAATTTGTTTTATTATTTTTTTATTTTTAAATAGCCAAATCTAAAATTTAAATAAATAAAAAATTTTAAAAAAAATGTTTCCGTTTACTAAGGAATGTAACATTATTATAAATGTTTATTTTAAAAAGAGAGAAAAAAAAAGTGGTATCATCAGAAATGTTTATTTATTGAAAAAAGTAACTATCATTTTCAAAAAAAAAAAAAAGGTTATGTGAAAAATGTTGTTTTTATGGAAAATGTTTTTTTGGGTTCGATAAATTTGACCTCAAAATTTAAATTGAGTTCGGTTAAAATATAATCTTTTCACAAGACAAGTAAGAAAGAGAAGGAGATAACGAGGGTGGGTGATTTGTTTAAAGACTTAAAAAAGAGTTTTTTTTTTAACTAAACTTTTTTACTCACTTCGGTGACAAAACCCACGAGACATATTCTTATAATAAATTATTTTTTCAGTTTTTACTATAATTTTATTGAGTGCATTTTTATATGGGTAATTTTATAAAAAGACATTTGAAAGTCGAAACAAGACGTGTACTTATATTTTGACTGCAAGAGCGATGAGTTTCTGAAATGGGTTTGGATTTGTGTATGTTTGGGTTTGTGTTTTCTGAACCTTAGTCCATATATTCAATTGAATCACACTTGATATACATCAATTTGATTTGTGTTTCTAAGATTTGTGTTTCTATTTGTTTTTCTAAGATTTGTTTTTTTAAACATTAAAACTGAGAAAGAGAGAAAATGGGTGTTGATTTCCTATGAGATGAGAGAATGAGAAAGATAGACTGAGGGATTAGAGAGAGAAAGTGGGGAAGATGGAGAGGGAGAATGAGTGGAGGTTAGGGGTCACCCAGCACAACACCACACAAAAAAAAAAGTGGGTTTAATTTTTTTTTTAAATCCAATCTTTTTGGAAAATGTTTGTAGAAAATGTTGGTTTGTTTTTTTTTTTTTTTTTTAAATCCACTCTTTTTGGAAAATGTTTGTAGAAAATGTTGGTTTTTTTTGGTGGATAAATTTAAATGGAGTTTAAATTGAGTTCTGTTAAAAAAAATGGTGAATTTAAATTTGTATGAAAATTGAGTTTATGAGTTATGTTTATGTAGAAATTTTTTTTTTTTTTTTGGTGTGTGTAGATAAATTTGAACTCAAAATTTAAATTAGGATTAAATTGGGTTGTGTAAAAAAATGATCATAAAAGTGAATTTTGAGAAGGAGAGGTGAAATAATGGGAGTGGTGTGATTTGTTCAAAAACTGAAAAGAAGAGTTTTTTTATTAATAGAATTTTGACTTCAAATTCTTATAATAAATTATATTTTTTAATTTTACTTTAATTTTATTGGGGTGTATTTATGTTTGGGTACTTTTACAAAATTCATTTCAAAGTCAATAAATTTGATAATTTACATTTTAAATCTACAAAATTTATTTTAAGTCAATAAATTTGATTAAAAAAAGCTTTGGGTGACCCACCACCAACCAGGGAAAGGGGTCCGAAAATTCCACGACTTTTGAGAAATCACAATACTGTATTTATTATTATTTTTATTTTTATTTTTAGAATCTTAATTTATTTAGCTTCATTGTTTGTTGGATAAACTACTAAATTGAAATTCTTAAACAACAAAATAATTATTTATTTGGTAGCTATATATCAATCGGTATAAACAACAGAATAATTATTTATTTGCCGACAGTGGGAGTATTTCGGTGCTTCTCTGTGGGCTGCATCACCTGAGTTTTGGGTTATTTCGTTGTTATTTTATTCGAGTTTTATAAAGCGTGTGATACAAGTATAATTGTTACAATTTTTTGAAAATAATAGTATTTTTTTTAAATATTTTTGTCAAAAAATATTACAAACTTTATAAATTTTAATATGATACGTATGAGTTTCATTGTTTGTTGGATAAACTACTAAATTGAAATTCTTAAACAACAAAATAATTATTTATTTGGTAGATATATATCAATCGGTATAAACAACAGAATAATTATTTATTTGCCGGCAGTGGGAGTATTTCGGTGCTTCTCTGTGGGCTGCATCACCTGAGTTTTGGGTTATTTCGTTGTTATTTTATTCGAGTTTTATAAAGCGTGTGATACAAGTATAATTGTTACAATTTTTTGAAAATAATAGTATTTTTTTAAAATATTTTTGTCAAAAAATATTACAAACTTTATAAATTTTAATATGATACGTATGAATTACAAATGTATTTTGATCACAACATTATTTACACCGTGCCATCAGGTACGGACATACGCTAGTATATATATATATATATATTGCAATTGTCATGAGAAATCCTGTATTTTGAGATATTAATATTTTAGTGAGAGATATTGGTAGTAGTTTGATGGTGAGATTTTTAGATGAGAACCTAACTTATTTTCTCTATTTGTTTATCTCTTTTTAACTCCATTTCATTATTACCATTATTTATCCCTATTATTTATTTACTTTTTTTAGTTTGCTTGCGCTCCAATCAAATGTTGTTTTCTTTCTTTCCAAGCAACCTTTCTTTGCCTCCAAATAAACTATCTTTATTTCCCTCCAAGTTTATTTGGAAACTATTCTTTATTTTGCCTATAAATTTGAACTCATCATCTCAACTTCTTTCTATGGTTCTTCTTCTTGGTCCATCCGTATCTCTCTTTCTCTCTCTCTCTTTATGATCAAAATATAGAATTTAGATTAAGAGTATTTAGAGTGAGAGTTAGAATTTTATTTAAGGAGAGTTATAGATTTTGTTAAACTTTACATTCCTTTTTGATCCACAACCTTTGGAGATTTATGGTTGTGGGGACATATTCTTCAAATGACGACACGTGGCCAAGGTGGCACCGAAGTGCTAGCCGAGATGCCACGTGTCTTGGTCATGACGCTGAGTTGATCTCGGCTAGGCCGAGGTTACCAGCGAAGATACCGAAATTCGAGATGAGCGGATAAGGGACAAGAGTCCTAGAATAGGAGAGGACCTCAGCTAGGATAAGGATAAAGCTCTTAGAGAGTTTATCTTTATCTATTGGAGAGTCCAAGACAAGCATTGAGCCAGAGTCCAAGAGAAGCTAGGCTTCTACAGGGATCAGGTTAGTGCTAACTATAAAAGTAAAGCACCCACATGGGTCTAAGGTACGCTTTTTGCATTCTAAACAATGAGTTAAGCACTTTTGTTATCTTTGAGAGATAACTGACTTGATCATCGGAGTGCTCCTGGGTGGACGAGCCACCGCTGGAATCTTATCTTTTTGTGACAGGTCGTTCAGGCACAATCTATTCTGCCAATGTTCTCCAACTGAGTACCAGATTGGCAGTGTGGTTAGAAAACAGCACACACAATTTGGCGCCGTCTGTGGGAAAGAAAGGAGAATAGATGGCCAGCGACGGACAGAAAGAGAAGATTGGGGACGACATCCATACTAGGAGTGGTAAGCACATTGACCCTAACGTAGAGGGGGATAACTGTAACAAAGAAACTCGGGATCAGAATTCCGGAGAGAAGGACGTTGGCTAGGAGGGTGACGTACCAAAGAAGTCAGACCGAGGTGGGTATTACAACGAGGACGACCTCCAGGTGTGGAAAGATAGGTGCCTGCGGAGGGACGGAGAGATGAAGGGAATGACGAATAAATTGGCGGACCTGCAGTCGGTCGTCAATTTCATGATGCAGAACAATGTCATGTAGCCATCGTTCCTGTTACAAGATACGCCGATTCCAGCGGCCAAAAAAGATGCCCAGAAAGGAGGGCATAAAACAGTTCCTGCAGTCCCTCAGCACGACAGAACCAAAGAACACTCTCACCGGCCTTCAAGGGAGGTCGGGCGAGGAGAGTCCATGAAGGGAGATTCATAGAGGACGCATCGTACCAAAGAAGCTGACCCCAAAGAACATTGGCATGTTCAAGGGAAGGAACTCTGTTTCAACGCAACTAACGGAGAGAGGTCCAAGAGGACTCACAATGACACCGGAAGCAGTACGCCGAAAAGGCTCAAATCTGGAGATAGCCGAGCTCCTGGACGGACCAAGGAGGATTTGAGGGATTACCTCCAGAAGAAGTGACAAGATGCCGAGGTAACATCTCCGGTCAAACCAAGAACACCGTTCTCAGTAGAATTGGATAAATTCGAGGCCCCGAAGAGGTTTCACATGTCGAGGTTCCAGATATATGACGGTAACACGTCGGCTTGTACCTAAACTCAATGGCATTATACACCGGGAACGAGCCGTTGCTCTGCAAGGTGATCCCCTCATCCTTCGGGGAAATTGCATCGGACTGGTTTCACAAGTTACCGAAAGGAACTGTGAAAACCTGGGAGGGCTTGGCCGAGATGTTCGTGGCCAGGTTTGTGACGAACAAACTACAGCTATTGAGGCTGGACTCCCTGATGGCTATGAGAATTGGCGAGGATGAAAGCCTTAGGGCCAACACCAAGAGGTATTATGAGGTGTTCAACCGAATACCAGGATGCAACCAAGAGGTGGCGGTCGTGTCTTTCAAGAACGGCCTGAAAGATGATTGTCTACTTCAAAAATCTCTGGCAAAGACACTACCAAAAGGTATGGAGGACCTCATGGCCAGGATAGAAAAGTATGCTACGACTGAGGAGGACACGCCGGGGACAAAGGCGTCAAAACAAGAGAAGAGAAACGGCTCGCCGAAGCGAGGCCGAGGTAATGGCAGATGCAGTAAGTAAGAGACAGGACTAAGGGTTGCACAGGCAGTCACTGCCGTATTCTGAATTCCAGTTTACAAAGTGCTGGAAAGAATCCGGAATCAGCCTTATTATAGAGTACTAGAGAAGGTGCCTGGTGAATATATGGGAAGAAGTTTGGGGAAGCACTGTGCCTACTACAATGAGGATGGACATCTAACTCAAGGGTGCAAAGCCCCAAAGGCACATCTGGAAAACCTGGTAAGACAAGGTCATCTAAGGAACCTGGTAGATGAGGCTAGAACAAGGAAAGAGCAAGCGAGACTGCCTCAGGCACCGGCAGCATTACCTCCTCCAGCACCACAACCGCAAGTAGGTGGGCCTCGAGTGATCAATGTGATTCACTCGAAGGTCGATGAGAACGAGATATGTGGAGAGACTCAGAAGGTAAAACACTTGCAACATGTGTATCAGGTCCGGCAGAAGAGACCTAAGGCAGACAAATGCCAGGGACCAATGGTGTCTTTTACTGAAGACGACCTAGAGATGGTGCAGCATCCGCACAACAATGCCTTGGTAATATCCCTCCAGATTAGAGAGTGCCAAGTGAAGCACATCTTAATTGACCAGGGAAGCTCTTGTGACATCATGTATGTCAGGTGTTACAAGGAGCTTGGCCTTTACCAAGATGATTTGGAACAATCCAATGGACCAATGGTTGGGTTTAATGGAACGCCGACGCGGCCCCTGAGAGCAGTAAGTTTGGAGGTGCAGGCTGGCACCAAGAAAGTAAAAACTGAGTTTACCATAATTGACACCCCTTCCCCTTACAATGCTATCTTGGGAAGGCCATGGCTGCATGCAATGAGGGTTATTCCCTCAATATTACACCAGCTGTTGTGGTTTCCAACAGAACATGGAATTGAGGAGGTCAGAGGAGATCAGGTGCATGCAAAGAATTGGTCCATGGTAGCAATGAAATCCACCTGTAATGTACGAAAAGCAGAAACAACAGAGACTGAGGATAAGGATGTGGAAGTCCTGGAGGACGTCGGCAAAGAGCCAGCCGAGAAGAGTGAGGAAGCCTTGAAGAAAATCCTTGTCCAGCAAGGGGATGAAAAGCGCTTCTTCCTTCTTGGCTCGGGCTTGGCCAATGAAGAGGAAAAAGAGCTAGAGTCATTCTTGAGAGCAAACATTAAGATGTTTGCCTGGACGACGTACGAGATACCTGGCATGTGACACTGAGGTTACATGCCATAGACTGAATGTGGACAGGTCGGCCAAACCTGTCACCCAGCGAGCAAGGAGGCCTACCTTGATGCATGTTAAGGCAGTAGAAGAGGAAGTGGATAAACTCTTGGAGGCCAGAGCCATTTGAGAGGTAAACTACCCGACATGGTTATCAAATACGGTTGTGGTGAAGAAAAATAATAGGAAGTGGAGGGTCTGCGTCGACTTCACCAACCTGAACAAGGCTTGTCCCAAAGACAGTTTCCCACTACCCAAGATTGACCAATTGGTGGATGCCACTTCAGGGCATGGAAGGATGAGCTTCCTGGATGCTTATAGGGGATACTATCAGATAGCCATGTACCTCCCTGATGAGGAGAAGACTGCATTTATCACCCCGAAAGGGCTAAATTGCTATAGAGTAATGCCTTTCGGGTTGAAAAATATAGGAGCAACTTACCAGAGATTGGTGACAAAGATGTTCAGACATCTGATAGGCAAAATGGTGGAGGTATACATTGACGACATGGTCATGAAGACCAAGGAACCTGAAACAAACAATTTGGAGCTAATAAAATTTTCGCAAACTCTAAACACACCAAATATCCTACCATAAATTCAGATTTGAGAATTAAATAGAGTTGATATTTATTTTAAATTAGGGAAGTTGCAGCAGTGCCCAATTTCACAAATTTGTAAGACAATGGCAATTGATCATATCCGCACTTCAACATACACCAAAAACCCTATTTACCATTAATTTGCAACACAAGAGGCATATTAGACAATAGAAGGAGATGGTGAAAGAATTGGAGAAGACAAAGGAGGGGTATGTTCTTACCTTTTTGAGAGTCACCCTTATTATTATTTTTTTTTTCTTCTTCTTCTTCTCAACTTCCTTTGATCATACTTTCACCCTCTCACCCTCTCCCTAGGCTGTTGAAAATGTGTGGTGAAAATTGAGACAAAGTTCTCAATTTATAAGCCATGAAATAGGGCTAGCTTAATGACTAAGAAAAAGCATAAAAATCTAGATATTTTTCCATTGCTCAAATAAGTATTAAAATAAATAATAAAACTATTTATTTAAAGATATGTGTAGATATTTATTTAAAGATATTTATTTTCTCAATTAAATAATAAAGGTTCAAAGAAAATAATAAAAATTCAAAGAACTAATAAATATTCAATTAGGCTAAAAATAAATTTGATGAATTAATTTAGAAACTAGGAGGTACATAAATAAAAGCCAAGTGTTAGGGTATTTCCAAATATAAAAATGGCATTCTATGATCTAATTATAATAAAATACAGAAAAATAATTCTTTCTTGGACCAGTTTGTAAAATTTTATAAAATTTGGGATTAAAATGTAATTAACCTAAGGCTTAGGGTATCAAGTGTAATTACCAAATATTAGGGTCTCTACAACCTACCCCCCTTAAATAAATTTCGTCCTCGAAATTAAATCGTACGTCACGTCTCAAATAGTTGTGAATAATTTGCCCACACCGCGTCTTCACATTTCTAAGTGAACTCTTCAATATCATAGTGACGCTAGAGTATCTTAAGAAGTTGAATTAGTTTTCCTCGCAAGTTCTTTTCTTGTTTGTCCATAATTGCTACTGGTCCCTCCTCAAAGCTGGCGTTCTTGTTAAGTTGGATTTCTTCCCAGTTGATGATGTGAGAAAGGTGCATTATGTACTTTCGCAGCATAGATATGTGAGAAACATCATGTACTCCAGCCAATTGCGGGGGTAGAGCCAATTTGTACGCAACCTTTCCAATTTTCTAAAGTATCTCGAAGGGTCCGATATATTGAGGCGATAATTTTCCTTTCTTTCCAAAACAAATGATACCTCAGCAGGGCTGAATTTTTTTTTTAAGAAAACATAATCATCATCACCGACAGCGAAAGTTAGAGGTCTTCTCCTTTTATCTGCATAACTCTTTTGACGATCTTGAGCTGCCACTAATCTTTGTCGAATAAGTTTTACCTTTTCTGTAGTTTCTTGCACGATCTCTGGGCCCAATAGACTCACTTCTCCAACTTTAGTCCAACAAACTAGTGATCTGCAAGGCCGACCGTACAGTGCTTCGAATGGAGCCATGCCAATGCTAGCCTGGAAACTGTCATTGTATGTGAACTCCACCAACAGTAGGTGTCACTGCCAACTCCCTTTGAAATCCATCACACAAGCTCTTAATATGTCCTCCAAAGTTTGAATGGTGTGTTCCGATTGTCCGTCAGTTTGAGGATGGAAGGTGGTCCTAAAGCATAATCCGGTTCCCAATGCTTCTTGTAGGCTTTCTTAGAATCGAGAGGCGAAACGCAGGTCTCGGTCTGACATAATTGATACAGGAACTCCGTGTAGTCGGAAAGTTTTTAGTTTTTTATTAGAGATGACTCAGTGATGTCAAAGTGTTTGAAATTTTATACGGCAAAAAGTGTGTCGTTTTCGTTACACGATCAACTATAGCCCATATAGCATCATGTCCTCTAGGTGACCTGGTTAGTTCGTTGTTACATGCTCCCATTTCCTTTCTGATATTGGCAAGGGCTGAAGCATCCCTCCAGGTCACTGGTGTTCCGCCTTTACTTGCTGACACGTAAGGCATCTGGCTACGGATTGAGCCACATCTTTTTGTATTCCGTTCCACCAGTAGTGGCATTGTAAGTCTTTGGTACATTTTCGTCCCTCCTGGGTGTACTACGAACACTGACGTCTCACTTCGGAATGATGAGTATTGGGACATTAGTCAATCTCCTCTTGAGTTCTTGAAAGGATCGTTCACATGCGATGCTTCATTCCAATCATATTTTACCCTTTTTTGCATTGGACGAGTCATCGGCTTGGCCAGTTCGGAAAAGTCTTGAATAAACCGTCGATAATAACCGGCCAGTCCTAAGAAACTACAAACTTCAATTACTAAGGTTGGCTGTTTCCAATCTAATACTACGTCTACCTTGGCCGGGTCCACTGCAATCCCATGCTCAGACACTACGTGTCCCGAAAATTTGACTTCCTTTAACCAGAACACCCAGCAAGTTGATTATGCCATCGCATCTTATGATTTGTCATGCTCAGAGACTCCTCTCTATCCCCCTTAAATTGGAAACACCTCCCGTCAAGTGTGTAAGTCGTCAATCAATCACCGTTCAGTGGGCAGATAGCCACTCCATACCTAAGATTATGTCAAAATCGAACATGTCCATGACCACAAGGTCGCAAATCAAGTGTAAACCTGACACTTCTAATTCGCACTGACACTTTCTCTCAAAGGTGATGCGATACTTGAAGTAGTTTTTAAATGTTCACATTCAAGACCTAACGATTTATCACATGGTGTTTTTTTTTTTTTAAAGAAAATGGTGCACCATAATCAAATAGAGCGTGAACCCAAGAATTATAGAGTACAATGTTGCCTCTAATTACTAACGGGTCTTTGTCCTCTTCCTCTGATAGTAGGGTCCAGCCCCCATTCGAACTTTTTTTTTTTTCCTCAATTGACCCAATTGTTCCAGAATCAGGTTTCCAATGTGGCTAAAGATTTTAGCCGCGGGTATTGGTCCATTCTTAGGGTTTCAATTACATGATACTTATTGTCATCTCGGCTAACCTGCTGTAGTCGACAATTCTGGAATGACGCTACCAGTCTGCCCACCTCCTTTACATAGGCCGACATCCTTTCATCTCGGGCTACATATTCACCTGTGCTTGGTTGACGATAAGCTGGGAGTCACAGAAGACTATTACCTTGTTAGCTTCCATTGTTACTGCCAGCTTTAATCCTGCGATCAGTGCTTCATACTCTGCTTCATTATTTGAGGCCTTAAACCCCAAATGAATGGATTGTTCCATTATCTGCCTATCTAGAGATACTAGCACTACTCCTGACCCCGCTCCTTGTCGGTTTGAACTCCCATCAACAAACAGCTGGAAAGAGTCGCCGACGTAAATACTGTAGGGCCTGAGTTTCTCTTCTTTCCTTTGTTCTGTTATCCCCAGCTGGGTTTTTCCTTGTTCATTGGACATCTTATACCTCGGCTCAACGGAGCCTGATGTATGATGGCGCTTGGTGTGAATTTGGCCACCAAGTCGGCCAAAACTTGGCCTTTGATTGCCGTTTTGGGTCTGAATTCCAGGTCATATTGGCCCAAGGCCACTGCCCATCTGGTTATTCGCTCCTGTCAAATCTCCTACTACAACAAGGAATTTAAAGGATGCTCAGTTAACACCACAATTTTGTGGGCTTGAAAGTAATGATTCAGCTCTTGGAAGCCAAA